TATCAGTACTTGTATCTGTGAGTATTTGGACAAGTATCAATACTTGGTCTGGAAAACATGGTATAGGTGCATCCCTAATAAGTAACAAATTATACATTAAAACAGGGATGCAAAAATCCCAGGAGCTCTGTATGCTCCTTAAAAATGATAGCTGCCTCCTAACTTTTGAGTTTTTCTCTAGTCTAGTCTTGGAGCTGGAGAAGTATCTGTACTTGCACAGGTACAAAGTATAGTACTTGGTATCTGAACATCCCTACTTCCCTACTACTGCAGCCTGAGTGGACAGGAAATTGGAGGACAGCAAGTGTGCAGCCCCCCCTTTTTGTATCAGGCCAGTCCACATGCCTTTTGAACACTATGGATTCATGCTCCTACTCTATAGAAATGAAAGTGCATGGTAAGCCTTTCTCCCACCAACAAAATTATTAAGGTATTTCTACCCCCAGTCAGCACTTTGTTTGTAGTTAATTAGGACACTTATATGTAGAGTTCCACTGTTAATTTAGATAAAGCTGAAATAAAAAAAAGTCCCGCCGCAGGACAACCGCCCGAACCCAACGAAAACTCACCGCAAGATGACATTCCTGCTCGAAAGTAAACAGATGGGCGGAGCGAGACGCTCGCTCCGCCCATTTCACATTCTCAGCTGCCAAATACTAGATAGCATTCCAAATGCCTCACAGACCCGAATGGCATTCGGGAGTTCACAGATAGCATTCGGGAGTTCCCGAATGCTATGTAGTATTTGACAGCTGAGAATATCTGTTTATCGTGTGGCTGGACTTTTTTTTATTGCGGCGGGCGTCGTGCATCGTGATTGACGCTGGATTATATCGATGGAGCCATTTGTTTTTTAAATTAAAGGAATAGTCAAAAATTGTCTCTTTGTTTTTTTCATTGGGCGCACAAACGGCATGTTATACAAGCGATCCGCCGGCTCTATAGCTGGTGGATCACTTGTATGTAAACAGGCATCTCTGTCTATTGTTACATTTTGGCAGTTTCCTCCTCGCACGCGGCGCGTGGGAGTGGCTGACGGGACGTTTAAAAACGTCTGCTCAGATCCAGGAAGCTCGGCAGTTAAACATAATTATTTATCATTTTGAAGATCAGAAAAAAAAGATCATTCATTGTGTGACATGTCTTTCTTTAAAGACGTGTCATCCCTTTTTTAATAAGATGCTCACATGTATAAAAAGAAAATCTAGTGTTACACAGAAAACAAATAACATTCTTATAAAAATTTATTTTGACATCAGGTAAGTTAGTTTACAAAACACCATACATACACAATGCAGTGCAAACCGTTCTTTTATTGAGAGTACTTTAAATTTTAAGTTCACTCTTGCATAAGCATCCCCAGCCCCCTACCACCCCCCCTCCCTACCCCATACAATCAACATTTTAAAATAGGATTTACATATAGTCATATTTAAACCTTTTTAGCACATTTAATTAAGGTGTGTGTTATTACTTTTATATTAATGGTCAATTGTCAAAGTGGTTTGGCACTCCCACCAAAACCAATTATTTAAAGGAGCAATGTGTCACTGCAAATATATTCAACATTGTCATGAAACATATAGATCTATATCTTTTTTATATTTCATACATGTTCAATTTAGGTACAAATTAGATTTTATCCAAATATTTTTTTTACCTGGCTGTATCCCAGTGGATACGAGTGGCAAATACGCCCCAAAGAAGCTCCTGTACTTCTTTGGGCGTAGGGCGCTTTGCAGCGTGTTCCTACGCGCTGTAAAACGCCCAGATGGGAACCATGCCCATAGGCAATAATTGGTTTTCACATGTTGAGCGTTTTACAGCGCGTAGGAACGTGCTGTGAAACGCCCAGGTGTGAACCAGGCCTTATGAATACTCCTGGCAAAGTATAACACACGGATGAAGATAATATGGTTCACAACATCAAAAACGTACTATGATGTATGTCAAATGATCTATTTTAATGGTGGTATGAGTTTGTAATTGGAAAATACAGTATGATGTAATGGGGATCCATTTGGTATGATGAAAAAAAGACTTAATTTTCTCACACAGTGTGACCACATTCAAACATACAAACACAATGGCTGATTGTTTCAGATAAAGGGCACCTTTCTAATGCTTCTGTTATATGTAAACATATTGCTTTATCTAACCACTGATGCAAATCTGCAACTAAATTAAAGGTTTAGCCCATCCAAAGTTAATTATTCAGCTTTAGGCAGATGCACATGGCCTGTATCACCCACTATTTTATTATAACTCTAGGGGCCTCCTCCTTTTCAAACTGACATTACTATAAGGAAGGGCCTGCATTTTCAATGTTAGTTCATTATTATCATATTTAACATTACAGGAAATGCAGCTGGAGGATTGAGGCATCTTTGCATGGTTTCAAAATGCCTACAGTATGTTGTTAGAGACAAATATCTGTGGGGGTGCTTTAATACCTAATGTAAGGGGTAAGTGGGTAATTCACCCCTAAGACATCCACCAACAACTGAAAACAACAGTTTTGGATGAACTTGCCTATTAAATTAAAGTGCACCTCAATCTTCCACAATCTTAAGAAACATTGAAATGGTACCTGAATGTTGGGTGAAGGACTTAGTGGTAAGATGGGCTCATCCACAACATGAGATAACCCCTACATATAATGTGATAACAGAAAATAAAGGAAATTGAGATTATTCAGATGACAGAGACAGATTTAAAACAGAGAGAGGCATGTTTTCCAATATAATATTTCCTAGAAGTAATGACACAGAGAAGGAAGTCATGAAAGCCATTTTTCCCTGGAGATACCATACCTTATCCAGAAAATTAATTTACTGATTACTTGCATATCTCAATTATACTGAAAGATTTTCATAACAGCTTTCTTGGTAATATATGTTCAAACAGGCTGTATCGTAATTTATGTTTACACATGTTTTATCGATTTAAGTAATCCTACCTTTTCATTGCAGCTAAGATGGAATTGTTTTTGTCCTCTGCACTTAGGGCAAAGTCTATGTACCACCAAAACATGCTGGGGACTAACCATGTCAGTTCAGTGCAAGGAAAGGCTAACATAGCTCTCAATATAAAAAGAACAGACCTTACTCCATGTGTGCCGGTACACATAAAGAAGGTAGGAGGTGGTTTGATCCAAATTCTGATATGCCCAGCAAAGCAGGGCTTCAGTTTCATATGCTTCACCCATACAGGGTCTATTTAGGGAACTGCTTTGTGGAAGTATCTTTGAAAATTATTACAATTAACAACCATTGCGACTGTTATGTACTGGGGATATCTGCCATACATTAACCACATATGTTTTCAGGACTACTTTGTTAGGTTCTGGACAATCAAAGTGTTTGTCAAGCCAAAACCTTATTTTTGAATAGAGTAAGGAGGGATTAGATCCCCTGTCAAATGTTTTTCTGTTATCCTGGGCTCTGTTACAGAACGTTTTCCTCACTTACTGTTCCGGCGACAACATTTCACCAGGTAGGAAGTGAGAGAAATTCTTCAACAGCAACACAAACAGAGTAACAGAAGGCTGGAACACTTGTTAGCTTTTTATTGGGTCCCTTTTACAGATTTTCCCCTTTCCTCCCGGTGAAGGAGTTGCCAGAGGACTCTAAGTAAAAGGAAATCTCTCTAACTAAGTCCCAGATAGCAGTACAAACATCACAGGGGTCCTAACACTTACCCACCCTATCCAAAACTAAAAGAATAGTTTTGACTTGGCTTACATATTAGTCTATCTAAGGCATTTTTTTCCATTTTGAATACAGTAGGGGAGAGTTAAAACCCCTGTCCGTTTTATTTTGCCATCTGTTAAATTTCACAGAGATGCCTACACTTACTCTCCGGTAGAACAGAAGGTGAGAGAATATCTTTCCAATGTTAGGAACATGCCCACTTACACAATTGTCACAAGAACAAGTGTCCCCACTTGAAGATTTCCTCTCTACTCAGAATTTTGAGTTTGCCCTAACATATTCACGTTGACATTGGTGATCAGACAGCAATAAAAACCTGACAGTGGTTCTGCACACTCACTATTCTACACAAATGTTTACAACGTATTTCTTTATACTTTAGGTAATATTTTCATGGGCTAATAATAATGCTAATGGATGAAAGGTGAACATGAACCATAAAGCATGTCAAGATTGTAACAGGAACTAACATGAGATAACCTGTGATCTGTTTCAAATTCAATTTTGAGACATCCATGTACATTTTAAAAAACTATAATGTTCTTCACAGGCTAGACTAAATTTCAGATTGAACTTCTATTGCTGAATCAGAGACAGATTACTGGGGTTTTAAACTTTTGTGCATATTTCATGGGAGTCTTCATGCATCAGTAGTTTCTAAGAATGGGTCTGTACTGTGTGGGCAATAAGAGTGGATTTATTTGGAATAGTTTTCCAGAAAACCATGGATTTATGGTAAGTACCCTTAGTAGGATATTTTGGTTAATTTCAAAGCATATATATTGGAAGTTTCAATACTGTGGATTTATTTCTAAAGTTCCAATAAAATATGTACCTACAATCATGCATTGGGATTTTGCAGGGCTATAAAAGATGGTCTTATTGACTTTATAGCCCAAATCCAGCAACATTTATTTTCAGATGATGGACAGCTAATTTGGTCTTTATAAAATTCTTTTTAACTATTGCAATTTATGGATTTCTGTATCCACAATGCTAAGCTTGGTGTTGCTGCTGCTTATTCTGATTTCCTGTTGCACACATTAGATAGAGAGTACCACATATCAATTATTAGATTATTTTAGTTGTCAGCAACCAAGTCATGGTGGATAAAAATATGTAGTACATGTTACCACTTGAAAAAAGGCAAATTACTTTGGACCCAACAAAAGAAAAATAATATTCAGTAACTACCAAACATTTCAACAGTTTTGTTTTATACTGTGAATTGACACAGATGTATTGTTATCTCATTTTTAATACATAAAATTGTTTAAATATTCCTACCGTGGTCTTCTCCAGACAATGAAGCAGGTGGTGATGCTGTGTTGCAAATGTAGACCCAGTTTTGTTTGGATCTTCACGTGTGCCCTGTAAATAACAAAAAAATATGTATATTAATACATTTATGTATCTTTAACAATTTGGAATAAAAACCTTTTTCGCTTACTAAACATGCACTTTTTTATCTTAACAAAATCATCTTCTTTAATCATTTTCCTTACCTAACTTATATTAAAACATTTCTTTATTTGCTTCTTGATTTTGCAGTTTTTAAAGTATCCTGCTAAGATTTCCTGGCCTGAAATATAATACCATTTGCAAACAGAGGTAGCAAATCACATTTTGTGGCCTTTCAAAATTTGCACGTTAGTTCACATTTAGTTTCTATAAATATTTTAATATTTGGATGGTACACTATTATGCTACTATGTATTCCAATTTTCCTGTGTGCGCTGTGATATTTTCAATCATTCCATGTATTAATTTGCCTGACAAAGGAGCCCTAGTACTCCAAAACTTGCACAAATGTTTTTTGGGTAAGGCAATAAAAAGTGTTATTTTCTCAATACTTTTTCCCTCTAACTTATGTAATATTATTCACCATATTTAGCAGAAAATCAAATAAGTGTTAGTCAGTGAATACCCAATATAGCAATGCCACAGGCAATTTCAGTAAGACACTTCCCCAGAGTTTCCTACACTTAAATTATTCCTCGGATGAGACCCCAATTGATGAATAAGTGTGGAAGAGGAATAGTGATCTCACAGAGAACTTTAGTAAGTCACCTCTCTAAAGTTTCCTGCATACTCCAAACAGGATCTCATCTGATGAAGAAGTGTGGAAGGGGGTAGTCACATAAACTCCATTGAGACATGTCCCCAGAGATTCCTGCTTACTGCCAGAACTCCATTCACTGAAGAACTGTTTAAGGAGAGGCCTTTGCTCCTTTATTAAGAATTCCTGCTAGAATGCATATTAAAGTACAGGTTCCTAACTGACCATAATCTCTTCCTATGTAGTTTGTCAGCTTTCCCTATACTTTCCATACACAAGCTTTAGTACACTGACAATATGGCTGCTCTGTGCCCCCTCTCTTTTAAAGTGACAGGGCTCTTTTATCCAAAAGCCCCCTTATAAACTATTAAACGCCTGCTGGGCATGGTTGAAAGGCCATGCAGTGCATTATGACATGAAAAACATTTGCCCGCCAATCTCAAACTCACAAGTTAGGCAAATTCGTACCTTTATTCAAAATAGCCCGTACAGCAGTGGAAGCAGAGTGGCTCAGCCGAGCCGAAGTGACAGCCCAAGCGGGTAGAACGGCCTGCCGAAGCGCCTCCCCACAAATAACAGCTGGGCAGAGCCATCCGTGATCTAATGGATCTCTCCATCCAGTTGTAATGACAGATCAGTTTCCCCAAATTACCTGGGGATACTGATCTGTCATTTTACAAAAACAACTGGGTGGAGCCGGCCGTGACGTCAAGGCCGACTCCGCCCAGTTGTTATTCATTGGTCGGGTCCTGCTAGAAGACTTTGGCAGGTTCCGGCTAATAGGAAGCAGTTGGGTGGAGCTAGCTGTCACCGCTAGCTCCGCCCAATTGTTTTTTATTTTTTAAATTTTATTTAAAATATTTTTTTTAATTATCCTATTTTTCATCATTTTTAAAATTATTTTTTGAACCTTTTTGTTTTTTCATTCTTTTCTATTCTGCTTGGTACCTTGGAGGTACCAAGCAGAATAGCCGAGCCAAATACCGGCTATTCACATACTGCTGTTCGGCCCCTACGAGAATAGGGGCGAACAGCAGTAAGTGAGCTGCCGGAGCTTTGGCTCAGCAGATCCAGATGTTGGATCGGCTGAGTCGAAGTCCTTCTGCACTTCGGCTCAGCCGAACATGCTGAGCATGTTCGGCTGGCCGAAGGCAGCCAATGTACGGCTGGTTTTAGCCGATGTATGGCTGAAATCAGCTGTACTGAGCTGGAGTGAATAGCCGAACGTCGTTCGGCTCACTTCTCTTCGGCTCGGTTATTCACTCGACTGCCTTCGTCAACTTTGTGAAAAACACTGTGAGTGACATTTAATTAGTAATATTTTCCATTCCTTTCCTCAATTCTTTAAAGTGAGACAGTTGCAAGTGTGGTACAAAGCCTCAGAAGAATGCCTACTAAAAGAACCGAGACTTTATTTATAAAGATTTATTTCAATGAAAACATTTTGACCTGATATTACTATTACTATGTTTTCCATGGTTCATTTAATAATCAAATATTTGTTCAGTCTATATATCTCACTAGTAAAAGATGTGGATCCGCGCTTTATGGATAGCCCTGATTTAATATCCTGATAACAAAGCAGCTGCGCTCTCAACCCTGGGGTCAAAATAGATAAAGTGTGTAAATTGTGCAGCGCTGCACAATTTACACACTTTATATATCTCACTAATTCCTTAGTTACAGATAAAAAAAATTAATTTAGTCTAATTTTCTCTTATTAGATAAACTGCATGAAATAATGTTAGAATGTTTCATTGGAGGGTTTTTAGTAATTGGCATTGCCTGGAAAAAAATATGCTTGAAAGCATGTGATTCAGTGGCAGAAATGATCATTTAATAATAGCTTTTCCCTAATACTTTAAATCGATCAGTTGTCTACATATCTATAAGGCAGATACTGTTGTATTGGATTATGCTAAAATAAATGTACAGGGACACTACAGCTATATGCATAATAATATGCCATATAAAAAGATAAAGGAGGCATAGCCTGTCTCTAATTTTTAGACCACCACAGAATATATGCACTAGAGCTTCCCTCTCTGCTCTGCCTACAAATTGCTGGGTTTCCTTGAACTCCCTATTGCCAAACCTAAGCGACTCATTCCAAAAATTCACAAGTTGCCAGCATTACCCATCTGGAAAAAAAACAGGAACAGAATACATTTTGTGTCAACACCTAGACCAACCTACTCTAATTCTATATGCACTATTCATTTAGAAATAAAATATCCATCCCCTTAATCTGAACCCGCAGCATTCTCCTAAATGCAGGATGTATGGAGAGCATTGAATGACTGGCACACATCTGCAGTCTAAGCCACACACAGTATAAAAGCTTCATCCAACAATGCTGCAAAAATGCTATGGGAAAATGATATAATCCTTACATTTAGCTACATCTGACTTTTTACAGAGCTGCTCGGATGTGAATGCAGTATGTATGAGCCATATGAAGACGGCTCAGTTCACAGCCATTAATGGGCACAGCAACCACCCAATGGTTATTTCTGCACGTTTATAAAATGCAGTGCAGAATTAATATCCACCACTTTAAAACATTACAGCGGTATATAAGTGGAAAAGGGTAACTATAAGGCCTTGTAGATTATGGACTTCAGCTTGTACATGAACAGAGCATATTTTTATAAAGCTTTTAGCTAGCTTCAAACAACTTCAATGAAGCATTTAAATTACCTTCCAGCTCCAGTTTGGGGAGGTTACACAAAATGAAAGTGCTGACTGTCACTTTAAACAAACTGCTAGCAGGCTTCAGTAACCTCAGCATTACTAGAAACCTGTTAAAAGCCTTCTGGAGCCTGCAAGCAGCTTGCTTAAAGTGACAGCTAGCACTTTCATTAGCTGTGTTTAAAATCTCCAAACTGAAGGTGAAGGTTGCTTTAAAAGCTTCAACAAAGCTGCTCAAAGCTTGATGAAAGGTTTAACAATACATCCATAAGTGCAAGGCCTTGGTTTGGTTTTGGTCAATTTTCTTGAAGTTTACAAAGCGATATATATATTTTTCTATTTATTTATATAACGTTTTTTGCTTTACAAATAAATATTTAATACAGACTGTATACTTGACGAAGGGTAGTCCACTACCCTTTATTGTAAGCAGGCTTTTTTCACCAAAGCAGAGAAGGAGAGCCTGTGAAATATGTAAAAAGGAGCCTAGAGCTCTACATGCTGGCCAAAAATATGACTACAAAATATTCAAGTATGAAAAGCTCAATAAAGTATTACACTTTTTTCCAAAATGAATCCAGATGAAGCAAATATACATTGCCCAGCAAAGTATGTCTTTACATTTTTGCCCAATCACTTGCAGTCATCATGTTTCCAAACAGCTGGCTCCAACTATCTCAGCCCCGCCTCCTTGAATTTCCTGTTGAGTACAAGCTTACAAGGAATAGCAGTGTCTCCAGCAGGAGACAAGGAAGGAAGAAAAGCAGGAGGAGTGGGGAGCAGGGGAGTAGCTTGCCTCGTTGTGCCTGTGTGTTTGTGGTATACATCCATAGCTTACTAACACACACGAGTGGCTCCATAGGAGCCACCCTAAAGGAGCCACCCTAAAACAGAATATCAGGGCCAGTGCTCAAGGAACCAGCTGAATTTGCAGGAAGCTAAAACTTTTAAACATCAAGCTGCAGCATCTATCGTAAGTAACTTAGTTTTTTTTTTCTAATTTAAATTGTGAGGAGCAAGCTGACCATATATGTTTATGAGAAACAATGAAGTGCTTTAGCTACATGCTATCATTGTTATAATTATTATTGTAGGTTTCTTAGCTTAATATGCCAGAATACATGTATTGTACTCATTACTGTTTATTTAATACTGTGCTAATTTCTCTACAGAATATTACATGCATGCAGCATATAAGGGAGAAGCTGGTATGTACAGTATTTGCTGATTGTACAAACCATCTATAAGTATATTATACCCATAGGCATAATCAAACATATGAATATTTAACATACACACACTGATACCAACAGTGATAGAAAATCAGCATTAGCCAAAGCGATATTCTTGAAAGAAGTCATCAAACATCTGTTTTTTTCAGCTGAACTGAATTCCCCTGAACAATTTGCACAGGACCTGATGATTGCAAATTGGAGCACAGTGAGAAGTAAAGGAACAGGAATCTGGCTTAATGCTCTTACTTGTAAAGAACTGATTTACCTACTTAATGCTAAAACGCAGGGAAACACTTATCACAATCTAGGCAAAAACAGGTGCAAAAATTCTAAATTAAAATGTCCAGTGAAAACTATAATGAGATTTAAAGGTAAAAAAAATCTAATGACTAACCCAAATTTGCCTCATTTAAAGACAGCCTTCCTGCCACAGCTTTTTATTTTTTTTTAATCAGCTATAGCAGTAGTGCATTAAGTCACCTGAAATTCAAGAATATCTTTGTTGCATCCTGTAAACAATTTAATATGTGGAGGGGTTAGGTGTCTACAGTCATAAGAATACCTTCAAGTCCTGTGAGCTTCTCTGGATGCTGTTGGAAATCTTCAGCTGTGTTCCTGGCTAATAGATATTGTTTTCCGTGGGGAAAAAACTAAAATCAGGGATGTCTAACAGTACTCCCTCGCCAACAGACCTAACTAATATACATCTGGAATATCGGCACTTGCATCTTTGTGGGGTCTCATGAGGGCTGTGTGGGCTCTTAGGAGGCTGTGCGCAGTCTCAGGTGAGCTGTACGGGGTCTCAGGAGGCTGTTTAGGCTCTCAGAAGGACTGTGTGGGCTCTCAGGTGGGCTGCATGGTCTCAGTAGGGCTGTGTGAAGTCTCAGGTGGGCTGTGCAGGGTCTCAGGAGGCTGTGCAGTGTGTCAGGTGGGCTGTGCAGGGTCTAAGGTGGGCTGTCAGGTGGTGGGCTGTGCGAACTTTCAAGTGGGTTGTGTGGGCTCTCATGAGGCTGTACATGGTCTTAGGAGGCCTGTACGGGGTCTCTCCTGGGGTCTGGATGGTGTTGCGGATGGGTGTGGGTGGCGGGGTTCCACAGGGAGGTGATGTGCTAGCAGCCATGTAAACAGGCGCCACAAGGTCCCCAGAAGGCTGTTGTGAGGTCCCAAGCAAGTGCAGGACCTTGGGCAGCCACTGCAGTTTAAAAATTTGAAGTGCTGAGTACTCATGGAAATGTCCAGTATCGGAACTGATACCAGTATTGATATCCAAGCATTCCTATTAATGACACAGATTGAAATGTTTTATGTACATTGAGGAATAAAAGCACTCCCTGTCTTGGATTTCCCTATCCCAACCACATTGTAGGATGGAAATAATGTCAATCACTTTTCCAATTTAATCAGGAGCCTGTCTGCAGGGGATAAATCCAACCTGGTCTTTATGGTTATAGTTGACAATAAATGGGTAATCACATTTCTATGTATTTGAAGACAAAGATAACAAAAGGTGACATTCTCTAACCTACTGCAAGCAGCATCTAGGTTAATTACTAAATACTGCTACTAGCAATTTATTTTTTAAGCTTTTCTTTGGCGAAGCTCATGTTCAAGGGCAGTTTTCATGTAAAGCTATAGACAGCATATGCCTGAGGAGAAATAATCCATGTTCAGTTATCAGAGGTCAACAAGCAAGTCTCATTCACATCTAGATATGTGCTTGTTTATTTCTTAACCATTTCAAGATCCACATGTTACAATCCCTTCCTGTCCAGGCCATTTTTCAGTTTTTAGTGCTGAGATGGTTTGATTAAGAATTACCATGCAACACATTAAAAAAATGTTTTCCTGAAAATTAAATGCTACCAGCTTTCTTTTGGTGGAATTTAATAACCACTGTTTTTTTTTTACACTATATGAAGTAAAAATTACCAAAAATATTTAAAAATCCTATTAACCTTACTTTCTGTTATAAATCATAGCAAAGAAAAATGGCAGGACAGTACAAAACCCCCATAATTACCCATTTTTGGAAAGTAAACACTATAAGGTGATCTAATTTTTTTGTCGTAATTTTTGGGAAATAAAGGAACATATTGGTATTGAGGGGGTTAAAACATGGAGTTTGGTAATGGTGAACTACATACATTAACCACTTCAGTACCAACATGTTACACCCCCTTCATTACCAGGCCATTTTTAAGTTTTCAGAGCTGTGCAAGTTTGGCTGAGGATTCCTCCATCATGCAACACTGTAAACAAAATCTTTTTGTAATCATTTTGAGACAGATAGAGCTTTCTTTTAGTGGTGTTTAATAACCAACTTTTTTTTTTAAATTGTTTACTATATAGCGTAAAAAAGACTAAACCGGAAACTACCCATTTTTGGAAAGTAGACACTTGAAGGTAATCTGATTCATTGCCGCAATTTTTGGGAATGAAGAAGAATTCTGGTATTTAGAGGGGGTTAAAACATGGAGCTTGGTAATACTGCACAAGATACAATAAATGTATAGGTCATACACAGAGGGAAGTGGAGTTGAAGGAGTTAATGCACAGGTCACATTCAGTGGAAGAATGGAGGTAAAGGTTGATGAATAGATGTGCAGGATAAGGGAGGTGAAAGGGTTAATGTACAGGTCAGAGCAGAGATAGAATGGAAATATTATAGGCAGGAGACGAGGGGGGCTGAAAGGGTTAAATGTATTTGAACCATTTTTATTTGCTGCTGCAGCTTGTATTAATCAGGAACTAATGAATGGATGACCCATCTGTTCATTAGTTCCTGTACTCTACCCTGCCTCTGATGTAAGAAGCGGGGCGGGGTTGGCAATGTAAACATTGTCATGTGATTGCTGTGATAGTGAATCACAGTGATCATAGTACACAGAGCTGGTTTGATCGGCTCTGTGTACATAGTTGTGGCTCTCCACCGTCTCCCTACTGCACCTGCGGGAGCTTTGTGTGCACACAGGTGTTCATGGGAGGATGTACGGGTACATTCTCCAGGAATAATGGGGCCGTGGACCAGCCACATTGATTAAAGTGGCCTGTCCACTAGTGGTTAAATATATATGTGTTTATTGATTCTGCGCTAAATATGCAGGTCATAACCAAAGGGAGGAAAAGGTGAAGTGCCTGATGTATAGGTCACATATAGTGGGATGATGGAGATGAGAGGGTTATTGTACAGATATACAGGATAGAGGGGGTTTCTCATATTTGACTGTAAAATTGGAAATACACTGTAAAACTGCTAGCTTTAAAGGTCTTAGTTACCATAAATGCAATTTACTAACGACGCACGCTATATATCACAGTTCTAAGCTAAAATAGTGCCTTCAGTAATCAATTACGGATGTTTACCACTCGTGTAGTTACTTCTGCATTCAATTATTCTATTACATTCAGGATTTAGGCTGCACTGTGCTTCAGGCAGAGAACATTTGATGTTGATGTTTCAGAAAACCTTTTGTGCAGCTCTATGTGCACATTCACATAGTATGAAAAGTGTAAAATAAGATAAAGCCAAACCTTACCTCATTTAGTATACCATTGCGTTTGCTTTGTAAATACGCATTAGCACTTCCACTCTTTGCCACCCGAATCCTTGCAAGCCTTGATTTCTGTGAAGTAAATAACATCAGTATATAAATTATATATATATATATATACACTGTATATCTTGACACATTTACCATATACCATTATATACTCAGTTTTCTTTAAAACATTAATAGGAAAACTAGAGATATGTGCATAATTATACATCTAATCCAGTGTTTTTTTTTACCTTTATTATTCTGTTTGCGGGGCTGAAGTATACATTTTAAAAAAATATCATGAAAAAAAGCACATACCCAAAAGATACCAGCTTGCCACATCAATTATACGAGCAATGTACTATGAAATCTGGCTGCAAGGCTGCAAGTGACTCCTTGCTATGATGATATCTGTATGCCCTTTAACAATGGGAAGATACTTCAAGAGGGCTTTCAATCACAAGTTAAAAATGTTCTGGTAGTAACGGGCACCACAAGTTCGTATGCAACCAAGAGTCTTATATGTAACTTTATAACTTTAAAAACATAGTCCATAAACCTTTTAGGTAAACAACTTTTTTCATGGGGTTCTCTTTTCCTTAATTAGTAAACAGATTACATCCAGTAGAAAAGTCAAATGTAATCTGTTTATTTGCAATTTACCTGACCTTGGTGGGGACATATATGTTCCTACCTTCTGGCTACATCATGTACCTCTTTTTTTAATATTTACTAGAGTAAGTGGGATCAAAGAAACCAATAGTAAATGGACCGTGAGATTACAGGATGTCCATGCTTGCTTTCCCATTCACTGATTAATGTATAGGAAACATTGCAACAGTGCCATTCAAACATCCACTCAGCTTGGCAAATCTTACACATTTAGGTCTAAGCCAAAAAAAAGCTTGCAGGATTTTTACAATTGATAATGGTGGCAACAGAGTAGGCCATACAGAAAGGGTACCAGCAAAATATGTCCTAGAGCCTTCTACTGTTATGTAGCAACCTGGAATGTAACTACAGTTTAATACCATGTCACAGAGAGAGGTCACTGGGGGGCCTCTGTGAGTAAATCTACTCACAGATAGGGGGTGCAAATGAGATATGTGATTAGCAACAGCATGATCCGTACATCTGACATCAGCTCTTTTGAAATGGAGACATCAGACAACCCTCCGCTTCCTACCCTCAAGGCCAATATTAATATTGTGGGCTACTATGGATACAGTTACAACAAAAAGATCAAACATTACATTAGCAATACATTTTTATTATGCATAAGCAGAATTTTTATATTGCTGATGTTTTGGAATAGCACAGCTTTTTCAAGGCAAGTGAGTGCTGCACTGCTGTACATACAGTATATATAGTATATATATATATATATAT